AGGTGAGAAATGAATGCCGAGGTAGGGCACAACGTAGTTTTATCTGTGTCATCAGTCATGGTAATCTAATCCTGGCCTTCCCTTCAAACTTTGATTAAAATATTCCTCTCTAATTGACCAATAACTGCATTTTAGACACAAGTATTTATTCTTTTTACTCATTCTTATATCCATAGTACTGAAAATAGTGCCTGACATATAGTAATTACTTCTCTGTTCATGTCCCTTGACTACTGTTCTATTGGGTGATTTTCTAGATTTGTTGTGTATTATTTTAATACAAATATTACATTATAGATAGTATGGGTTAAGACTGTTAAGTGTAGTCTCCCTTCATCAGTGAATGGAAAAGTGTTCAAGGGTGTCATTTGCCTTCTAATTTTATGAGGTCTGACATACTACAACTTTTTTTTTTTAGTCAGATATGTCACATTTCTTCTATAAATCATATTTAGAAAATTCTTTTTTCTGTCCAGAAATTATATAAATATTCATATAGAAGATTTTTTAGGGTTTTTTATGGTTTTCTTTTTACACTAAAATCCAATCACCTGAAATATATTTTCAGGTACTATATAAGGTACAGACCTAATTTTCACTTTTCAAATGGTTAGCCATTGTTCCAATACCATTTATTAAATTCTCCATCCTTTCTCCGATTAATTAGAGATGACATTTTACTCTATATTAAAATATTTTATTAGCTTTTATTCTTTTCTATTTATACAATACTATGCCAGCCTTTAATTATTTCGTTTTATATTTAGTAACATTTATTGTGGCATTTCTCATTACAAAAGTAATATATCATCAGTAAAAAAAAGAAGGTGAGGGGAGTTACCCAAAGAAATAAATAGGCCCTATAATTCATCATTTTTTCCCAACACTCCCAACTTTTGGTGTATGATATTCTTTAAGACTTCTTTCTACATATCTGTATTGTTGAAATTATAAGAAATATTTTATTATCAGCTAATGTGAGTCCCTCCTCTTATTCTTCATGATCTTTTATTTTTTAAAAAAAATTCTCATTGTTTTCTTTTAGATTAACTTTAAGATTTTTGGTCAAGGTTTATAAAGTTATATTGTTATTTATTGTGTGAATTGGAATCACATCGAACTTATAAATCTATTTAGGGGAAATCAATTTTTTATGTGCTTGTTAAACTCTACATAATATTGAAAAATTAAAAATAGCCTAGCTTTTGGTAATTGATTGTTAAATAAATTAAGGTGTATCAATGCAGTCTAATACCCAGGTACATAAATATTGTTATAGAAGAATATTTAATGACATGGGAAAATGTTTACATTTTACGCACAAAAACCAGGTTATAAAACAAATGAGCTACGTGGATCAAATAAAAATAAGCATAAATATAAATGCAGACATAAATAAAAATATAAATAATATAAAATAAATAGAAGTAGTAATAATATACTTGAAAATATATCCAAACATCTACAGGCAATACCAAAATGTAAATGACACAAGGATGACAGTTAATTTTCATATTCTTTTTTGCATTTTGTCATTTTTCCCTTTTTATAAGAAATAGTTCAGATCACATAAATATCATTTTAGATAGAGAAAAATATGCCAGCTGTCTGACGTCATCCCAAATAGCGGTGCCTCCAAGTTTACTGCTGTGCTTCAGGGCCATGGCTGCCTGTTGACTGTCTCCAGTCCACCTCTTGATGCAGGCTTACTCCGCCCACCTGTCTCCTCAGCTACCTTCAAACTGTCGAGCGTGCCCTGGAAGCTGGGGAGGTGGTGCTGATTGAAAACCTAGAGGAGTCCATCGATCCTGTGCTGGGACCCCTGCTTGGGAGAGAAGGCGTTAAGAAAGGACGGTGAGACCCAGCTATATTGCTGGCCCTTCTGAGGGGCTGGCTCACAGCCCCTGGTAGAGCTGTGCATAGACCTGCTCCTCCTAGAACTTCCTCTCCTCAGCTCACATCAAGTAGCCCCCCTGAAGCACACCTTTCATTCTGCCAGAAGAGGAACATTTAGCTGCCCTCATGCCCTAGAGGCAGTTCCGGAGGAACTTGCATCAGCCAGCTCACTGGCTTGCTGCTCAACGACCCCAGTGCACCAGTCTAGAGCAGCGTTAGAGGGAAGGTGGTGAAAAAGCAGTCTGTCTTTGAACCGTGAACATTTCATCTAAGCCAGTCGTCTGAGTTCTGAGAGCTCAGTGCTTTGTCAGCTTGATGAACCCCTGTCGCTCTGGGTGCTGGTGGCTGATCAGGGCTCAGCAAGGGTCTGGGAGGAGGAGGAGGAGGAAAAGGGGGGCAGGAGAAGGGCCACAGGCACGTAGGAGGGGGGTGAGAATTATCAGAAGGGAGCCTCACCCACTGCCCAGGCCATAAGCCGCCTTTTCAAGTCCTTAGGATGTGCTTATTTACTTAATTAACCATTTTCACCCATAGAAGTAATGCTCCATCAGCCATGAGACAAAGTAAGCCCTATTACTACCCTATAAATCACCTTCGTGCAAACTCTAAGAAGGTTCCCCTTCCTGCAAATACTTTACTGCCATCTGCTGGAAACGTTCCATAATGCGCTCATGTACAGGGACCACAAAGTGAGTGGCTCTTCCTCCAGCTGTGCCCACAAAATCAGATGTGGTGGCCATGGGAGAAGGTCTGTCACCCTCCACCCCTGTTCCCCACCTGAGGGCTCAACCTAGACATGCTCGGGAGGAGTCATCTGAGTATGGCAATATTGTTTGCTGTGATTTTGCAAAAAAAACCCGTCTAGGATTCTGTCCCTGACCAAAGCTCACAGGAAGGCACTCCACCTTCACATGAGCCCTTGTGTTCCAGGTTCATTAAAATCGGAGACAAAGAGTGTGAGTACAATCCCAAGTTCCGGCTCATCCTTCACACCAAGCTGGCCAATCCTCACTACCAACCCGAGCTGCAGGCTCAGGCCACCCTGATCAACTTCACCGTGACCAGGGATGGCCTGGAGGACCAACTGCTGGCCACTGTGGTCAGCATGGAGAGGCCAGACCTGGAGAAGCTGAAGGTGCGTCAGCTACCCAGCAAGGAAGGGAGGAAGGAGTTGCCCTGCCACCAGACCTTGCCGTGTGCCCCGCTCTGGGATAGGTGGGGCTGTTCCTCCAGAAGCTGAGCAGCGTGGTTTCACTAGAGCTCAGAGGAGCGCCAGCACCATCCACCCACCTGAAACACCCTACTGGGAAACAGAGGATAGAGCAGGCTGAAGGACAGGAGGCAGGAGGCAGCTGGGAGAACCCACACTCCTGTCCAAGAGCAGGGCTGGCACAGGCTCTACAGGAACACGTTTGGGCCTCTCACCACATGTGCTCCATGTCTGTGTCCAGAACTAAGTGGGGTTCAGTCCCGCAAGGGCAGTAGAAACGGATTCAGCCACTTTAGGGTAGTGTCTTAATCAGCTTGGGCTGCCATCACAAAATACCATAGACTATGTGGCTTGAGCAGCAGACATTTATTTTCTCAGTCTGGAAGCTGGAAGTCTGAGTTAGGGGTCCAGTTTCTGGTGAAACCTCTCTTCCTGGCTGGTAGGTGGCCACTGTCTCACCATGTACTCATAGACCTCTTCCTTATGTGTGCAGAGAGAGCAAGCTCTCTGATGTCTCTGCTTATAAGGGCACTAATCCCACCATGAGGACCCCATCCTCATGACCTCATTTAACCTTAATTACCTCCACCTCCAGTACAGTCACATGGGGGAGGGGGGAGTTAGGGCTTCAACATAGGAACTTGGGGGGGGGGCACACTTTTGTCCATAGCAAATAGTATCCTTTTCCCCTCTCCTTAGACATGATTAGATTATAAAAGCAGGGGGATATTAGAGTGCCAGGAGGCTAATTTAAATTGGAAAGGTCAGAAAAAGATTCTGTGAGGAGGTGGCATGAGCCTTTGGTTCAGAGCACCCGCAGCAGAGAGAAGAGTGAATTGTGGTTATAAAGCAAGATGGAGGCATGTGTTTTTAAGAAACAGAAGATAGGCCAGGGTGACTGTGGCTGGGGCCTCCAACAAGAAGTGTTCTTTCCATGGATCCAAAGGCAATAATCCCAGGCTGTACAAGAGCAGAGAAACTGCAGCTGCCTGAGGTTTCATGTGCACCCACCCACAGTAAGAGAGTGCCCAGTGCTTTAGGATGTAGAACCTAACAATCAAAAAGGGAGAGGAGGTAAGATCTGCCTGGATACCAATGCCCCACTCCAACCTTAAGGAGGGCTCCTGCGATCATCTTGTCAAAACTGTATAAAACCATTTCTAGTTGGTTTTTTTTTTTAAGGTCATCTATAGGAGAGCTCTTCCCTTGGGGGCCAGCAAAGTGGTGATAGACAGGACCTTCCAGAGAAGTAAAACTTGACCCCACCCTCTAACTATTCCCAGAAATAACTTCCATTTAGTGACTAGACCGTGTCCCAGCATTGTGCTAAGCCTTGTACAGCACTCCTACGAGTAGGGCCAGGGTTAACCCAGCTGAGGTTATGATGTGTTAAGAGGTAACTCAGCCCAAGGTCACATGACTAGTAACTGGTACAGTTGGGGTTCAGGTCACCTGCTGATTTTGTCTGCTTGTGGTCCCGAGCACTCTGCTATCCTGCTTCCAGTTTGCTAAGGGAAGGGATTCTGGCCCATAACCCTTTATCTATTCAGACCTACTCTGAGAACAGGATGCTCTGGGCTTCTACACCTGACTCTCCCTTATGTGATATTTGCAGTCAGATCTCACGAAGCAGCAGAATGGCTTCAAAATCACCCTCAAAACATTAGAAGACAACCTGCTTTCTCGCCTTTCCTCGGCCTCTGGGAACTTCCTGGGAGAAACGGCCTTGTTGGAGAACCTTGAGGTCACCAAGCAGACCGCTGCGGAAGTTGAGAAAAAGGTAAGACCTGGCAGCCTAGGCTGGCGGACAGAGGCCCTCCTCCTGCTCCCTGAGTCTGACTTCTAGGGGAAAAAAAGAGTAACAGGTGACTCTTCCATCTTCCTGAGTGTCTCCTAGAAAGTCAAGCTAGGCAGGATTCCTGAAATGACTACCTCACATCCTGCGTTACGGAGTGCTCCCATCTCCTGGGAAATGCTCTTGACAGCTCTACTCCACAAACGTTTGACACGTACTTACGTCTGCGCAGGGCCTCGTGTTCTGTGCAGGAAATAGTCTCTCAAACTGACTACCTCAGTGAGTCCATGGAATTGCCCTGAAGCTAAGGAATCACACTGTTGTACAAGTTGGCTGGTTCAGGCATGATTGCACCCCGAGTAAACTCACAGCCTGCCAAAAGCTCACAAGTCTGATTTTAATGGGAAAACTTCAATGACATCCAGGGAAAGTCAGCTCTAAAAAAAAAAAAAAAAAAAACGGTATCATTCTGTGAAACTACTTAGCATATAGCTTCCTTCCTTTGTTTCACAATGTTCGGGAGACTTTTTTTCCCCCTTGCAAGAATAAAAGTCTGCCCTTCCCCAGCAGACTACTGACCCTACAGGGGCCCTTTCACATTCTCAGTCCTGCTCTTGGACCAGAAGAGGAATTAAGTTACTGGTTCTGAGCAGGATAAGCGTGTCTGTAACAGTGCCCAGGAATGATGCACCTTTGAAGGAATACCTTTATTGTCAGTTTATTGGGATTTCTCCAAATATGAGAAATAAGACTTTGTCCGAGGTAAGGACAAGTTAGGAAAAATGAAAAGTAATGATGGGCAGGGCAAATAAACCAGGTCCTACTCACTCTGAGATAACAGACAACTAAGGCTGGAATGAGAGACTGAAAAGAGGAAGGTCCAGCCTCGCCTTGTCTCCTCAGTCGCTGTGTGACCACCAGGTTTTACTGCTGGTTCTCTACAGCCTCCATGTCTCAAGAGAGGGGCATGCAGAGTTTGTAAAACAATTATGGTAGAAGTTCCACTGCCCTGGGCAGGAGAGATGGGGGAACAGAGGCCAACTCACACAGAGGGAGAAGGTCAGAGATGGAATGGACCTCCTCTCTTTCTTCATCCTTTTCTTTAAAGTCAGTGAACAATTATTGAGCACCTGCTGTGTGCCAGGCTCTTTGTATGCAGCTTTTTATTCTTTTGTTGTTTCTTTTCTTTTTGTCTTCTTTCTCTTTCTCATTCATTCATCCAATGAATACTTGGTTGGAAGCTGTTATGTTCCAAATTCCATGGCAGAAGGTGGGGGTACCACAAGGAAGCCAAGAATCCCAGGCTTCCAGGACCTGGTCCTCTAAGGGAGAAGGATGGGCAATTACAAAACTGTGATGAGGGCTGTGGGAGAGGAAGCATGGGGAGTCATGAACACACAGAGGAAGAGCACTCAACCCATGTTGGGTTAGCGGTAGAAGGATGTTTCCCTTTAGTATGAGTGGAACACTGAGAGATTGTAGAGGGGATGGAAGTAGTCACTGGAGATGAGGCATGAAAGGGAGGCTGGCTCCATCACAAAGGATTTTGTAGACCATGCTAAGAAGTTTGGGCTGTAGATGGGAGTTAGGGTGCCTAAAAGAGTTTTTTTTTCCCCCCCTCTTTAGACAAGAGAGTAGCATGATCAGATCTGTGCTTTAGGAAGATCACTCCAGCTCCAATCCAGAGGAGAGCTTGGGGAAGCAGGAGGCAGAGAAAGCAGGAGGAGGTACAGTAATTCAGATTAGAAGTGATGGCATTCTGAAGTAGGGTTGGCAGTGATGGTACAGAGAAGTGGGCAAATTCAAGAGCTATGGGCAGGGCTTCCCTGGTGGCGCAGTGGTTGAGAGTCCACCTGCCGATGCAGGGGACATGGGTTCGTGCCCCGGTCCGGGAAGATCCCACATGCCGCGGAGCGGCTGGGCCCGTGAGCCGTGGCCGCTGAGCCTGCGCGTCCGGAGCCTGTTGCTCTGCAACGGGAGAGGCCACAACAGTGAGAGGCCCGCGTACCACAAAAAAAAAAAAAAAAAAAAGAGCTATGGGCAACTTCAAGGAGGTAGAATTGGAAAACTTGTTAACTGATTGGATATGATTATATATGGATAAAAGTATTATCGAGGAAATGTCTCAGTTCCAGGAATAAACATCTAGATAGATATTGGTGCCAACACCTGAGAGAAGAGAGCATAAGTGGATTTGGGGGTGAGAAGAAATGATGATTTTAGTTTATGTCATGTTGAGTTTGAAATGCCTCTGGGCCATGCACATGGGAACATCCCATGGGTCTGGGGATATATGATCTTGGCTGGTGATAGAGTGCTGAGACTTTTTAGCGAGTAGTTGATTGCTGAAACTTTAGGAGTGGATGAAGTCACCTGGAAGGTGTGTGTGCAGTGATAAGACTGGGAGTAGAGCACTGAAGTATATGAATACATTTCAAGACAAGTACAGAAGATGGAAAGCATGGAATAGAGCAGAGGTGGGAGGAAAAGCAGGTAAATAAGGCATTATGAAAGAAAGCATTTCAGGAAGGGATGTCAATGGTGTCAAATGATGCTGAGAATGCAAATAAGATACAGCTGAGATGTATCCACTGAATTTTGCAAAAGGGAGTTATCAATAATCTTGAGGAGAATGGTTTCCCTGAAGTAGCAGAAGCAGAAGTCAGACTGCCTTAGAATGAGAGTAGATGGGAGTTGAGAAAGGGGAAGTGAGTATAGACAACTCTTTAAAGAAGCCAGACTATAAAATGGTAGAAAGAGAAAGGATTGTAACTTAGGAGGACATAGCATCCTTGCAGGATTTTTCTCCAAGATGGCAGAGACTGAGCTTACTAAGATCCTAGCTGGACATTGGAGGATGCATGGATTGTAAAGGAAAAGGAGCCATTGAGAAGAAGAGTTGAATGTACAGAAATGAGAAGTAGTGATTAGTACAATGGGGTACATAAGAAATCAGGGGAAATGTAATTCAGGTCACTGATGAAGAGCTTATCTTTAGAAATATGGAGAGTTAATTCCAATATAATGGGGGAGAGGGGGCAAACATGAATCTACAAATGGTCCATAGGTCAATGTGAGCAATGGGGTCGGGGGGGGGGGGGGCGGCGGTCAGAAAATTAAGCGAGTGGGAGGGAAGGCAGAAGTAAGGAAACCCCTTCCTGATGGTCCCTATACAATACATCTGTGAAAGCATGAGTCATAGTCATGGTCATCTGCTTAGAATGAGGGGATGGTGGTGAGGTAGGGTGCTTGGGGAAAGGAGTGAAGGTTTACAATAGTTGTTGTGGGAGATGAGAATGAAAGTTGACTAAGGACATAGATTAATGCACAGCATTAAGGACCCAGGTGAGCATGAACAGTATGAATCTGTGGTAACACAGTCTGAGCAATTATGTGATTTTTATTCCATTCCACTCCATCCTGAGAATCTTTGTCTTTTAACTACTGAATTTGACCAATTTACATTTACTAACATTACTGATATAGTTGGATTTCTTTCTACTATCTTAATTTGTACTTTCTTTTAACCATGCTTTTTGTTTATTTTTTCTCCTTTCTTGATTTTTCTTTATCGTCCTCTTTTATCCTTTGCTGATTTTAAAGTTATTTACTCTATTTTATTAATTAACCTTGTTTCATTTATATATGAGAAATATATTTCATTTTATGTGTGACTTAACAATGTATGTATTGACTTAACAAAGTCTAAAATTAAGCACTATATCTAGCCTCTTCCAAAACAATATTAGGACGTTAGAATACTTCGTCATTTTTTCCATCTTCTGCTACTGTTTTATAACACTTTAGTTCCACCTTGCTTTTATCTACTACTTCCAAACTGATCATGTTTTTTATAGTCTTTGTTATTTTTTTTATAATATATATTTTTTGGGCCGCACCACACGGCATGTGGGATCTTAGTTCCCTGACCAGGGATCCAACCTGTGCCCCCTGTAGTGGAAGCATGGAGTCTTAATCCTGGACCACGAGGGAAGTCCCCAGTAGGCTTTGTTATTTAGATTGACTGTATATTTAAGGAATTCTTGCATCTCATTTATTCCTTTTGGATTCAGTTTTCTTCTGATTGAAACAAATAATTACTTCTTCAGCAGCCTGTGGATAGTAAGCTGTCTTTGACATTGACTGCTTCTTCAAAGTAAAACCTCTGGTCTTTAATCAATTTTGGAAAATTCTTAACTATTACAGCTCAAATATTGCCTCTCTCTATTCTGTACTCATTTCTGTTAGACGCATTTTTTTTCTTTTTTTTTTAAATGTATTTTAAATCTTTTCATTTTATCTGCCAAGTCTCAACCTCTTTTACATATTTTCCATCTTTATTTCTCTCTGAGCTGCTTGTGTAACAATTTCCTCAGAATTTATCCTTTAGTTTGCTTATTCTCTTTCAGCTCAAGTCCATTATTTAACCAGTCACTGAGTTTTCCATTTTAATAACTGCATGCTTGTTTTTAGAAGTTCTAGTTAGCTCTTTTTCAGATAATGTCTGCTCTTTTTTTATAATGTCCTGATTTTATGCTTTCTTTTATCTCTACTGCTTTTAAACACAATTAGCTAATGGTAGGTAGTTCAATCATCTTCAGCTCTTGGGATGCTAATCTTTCTGGGATTTTTTTTTTTGAGGGGGGAGGTAGGGGGTCTTCTAATTGTCCCCTTTGGTAACACTTCCTCCTGAAGTTTGTAATTGTTTATTGAGAGCTCATCTTCAGTAGGGATCATTGTTTTTTCCTGCAGGACTCTCATGAATTATCAGTAGTTTCACTCTATGCTGGAGCATGACAGGTCATACTGAGGTTGTATTTAATAGCATGTTCTTACAGAATCCCTGTCTGATGCTTAGGTCTCTTTTCTCATTTTTACCCCTGATAAATTTTCTGAAAATAGACCTCCATTGAAAGAGATCTTCTTTGTGAATTTACATATTAACTCATAGAAATTAAGACAACAGAAAATTAGATTATGCTGCTTTTACTGGATTCCATTGCCTAGAATTCTGGCTTATTTTTCAAGTTGTGTGTGTGTGTGTGTGTGTGTGTGTGTGTGTGTGTGTGTGTGTATCTCCCACATGTCCCCACTGGAGGGGCTGACACTTTCACCTTGTGAAGGGCTAGGAGTGTGTCATCTCTTCCTCACTCAAGCTCAGTTAAGGAAAACCATGGCAGCCTTCTACCCTCTAGCTCCTCCCCCCATCCCGGTCCACCCACCGCACACACAGACACAATGTGCTTACACAGAGAGGCCACGCTGATTCTCAGGTAGCCCTGGTTGGTTTGAACAGTGGGCCACTATTGATTTTTCTAACAGGTGCAGGAGGCCAAGGTGGCGGAGGTGAAAATCAACGAGGCCCGGGAACACTATCGGCCGGCAGCTGCCCGGGCCTCTCTGCTCTACTTCATCATGAATGCCCTCGGCAGGATCCACCCGATGTACCAGTTTTCTCTCAAGGTGACTTACACCTGGAATTTTCTGAATAGTCATCATTCAGCAGTGTAATACAGCCAGTGCAGCTCTCCATGAGGGTTTATCTATGTGTTTCATTAGCTGTGGCGGCTATTTAAGATCAAATCCAGGAGAGCAGCTACATTGCCTTACAGTCCTCGTCTCTTTAATTGGGTCTTTCATGACTCATTGGTTATTTGGCTAGAACAGCAGGAGAGACCACAGCAGGTCTTGGCCTCACTCACTAAGTACATATATTACAGCAGGAACTATGCTTACTGAAAGTGTGGAAGATGATGCCAAGAAACATGAGAAGTGACCCCTGCCCCAAAGAGCTTAAAATCTAATCGGGATGATCAAATGTGCATGTCATTTTTATCAGTTAAAACCAAAGCAGGCCATGATAATAGTCCAACTTTAAATTACTTTCCTTATTACCCTAATATCCTCAAAGCTACTGCTTTATGGTTGCTGAGATATTTCTAAAACCAAAGACGTTAGCAAATTGTAAGTGCTGACTAAGCTTATCTTACTCATGAAAAAATAAAGACCTATAAATTTTAAGTACATCTCTGAAAGTATATCTTTCTCCCCTAAGGCATTCACCAAGAGACCACAATTGAAGAGGCCTTAGGGGGTGGTGGAGCATTTCTGAACAACTTCTCTGGTTTAACCCAACAAACAGAGAGGACACACACACACACACACACACACACACATTCAGAGCACACACCTCATTCTGTGAAGCTCAGCTGCCATATGGAGGCCAGGGTGTGGGGATGAGGTGAGGGCCTCCACTACCTGGAACTCATTCAGTTGGAGGTGGCATTCCATCCTGTCCCAATCCCCTTCCCTCAACTCAGAGTCTCTGCAGATTAAGTGAACTGTGTTTGTAATGTTTTATGTTTATAAACGAAATCCAATACTTGGCATTATATTCAGGTCAAAGCCCCATATAAAAGAATTATAAAAGATTTTAAAACAGTATAAAAGTTAGCATGATAAACCTAATAACTACGGGATCACTTCCATAGTTCTGAGAGTAGTTGAAATCTACCTCAGTGACTCTTTCTGAAAAAAGGAGATTAGATGAAGCACATGAAAATATGTGTTCAAAGCAAACAAAACAAAACAAAAAACAAATTAAAAAAACCAAGAAGACTGGAAATCTGCATAGCCAAAAATTGAAAAGACCCAATTATATCTTAATTTTTATTTTCTTTAATGATTCATTCTATTCATATCACATTCAAAATGCAGCATTCCTAATATTAATTTTTTATAAATAGTCTATATCTAAGTGTAAAACAATGGAAAATTGATTCATATGATTTTTATTTCATACTATACCCATAATGTATAGTTCAGAAGATGTAACCAAAGCAGGCTCTGCTCCCACCATTGCAGCAAGGGTCCATAAGAAAAAAGCACATGTAAGTGGACTCACCAAATGATGCAGAATTACTAGAAAGAAAAACAAGGAACACCTGATGTTCTGATCATTACCAAAAGGAAAAGTAATTAATTGAAAATATTCTGCGTGCCTGTTAGGTACAAGGGTCTCTTCTAGCCAGCAAAGTTGTACATGATATTGAATGTACCATCGGGAATTTTATAATCTAGATGCGGGGATCCCCAACCCCCTGGTCTGCGGCCTGTTAGGAACCAGGCCGCACAGCAGGAGGTGAACGGCAGACGAGCAAGAAAAGCTTCATCTGCTGCTCCCCATCGCTCGCATTACCGCCTGAACCACCCCCCACCCCACCACCCCCCATCTGGGGAAAATCTGTCTTCCACGAAACTGGTGCCAAAAATGTTGGGGACGGCTGATCTAGAGGATAGAATCATCCATCCTAACTGGTTATCATTGACTGTGTTTACTTTCCAACAAAACTTATTGAATTTAATTTAATTATTTTGGCCACTGGACATTTATTTTTCACTGACTTAAACTGTCGGCTCTTCTCTATATGCCCCATAGCTTTGCCCACTTTGTGACAACGTAATAATTTATATGAGCCAATTAAGACGAGCTTAGCAAACTAAGACAAGAGTTTTCTTGTTGCCACTGTACCTTCTTCGCAGATTATGCTGGAAAAACATTCCTGTGGCTGGCAAATCGTAATACTCATCACAGGTAGTACTACTAGCTACGTACACAGAGATGTGTAAATTACCAGTGTCCTACCTCCTGTCCCCAGGCCTTCAACATCGTCTTCCAGAAGGCTGTGGAGAAGGCTGCTCCCGATGAGAGCCTCAAGGAACGGGTGGCCAATCTAATAGACAGCATCACCTTCTCTATGTACCAGTACACCACCCGTGGGCTCTTTGAGTGTGATAAGCTGACCTACCTTTCCCAGCTCACCTTTCAGGTAAAAGTGGATTGAAGAAATTTCCAGAAAACAGGTCACTGTATATGCCCAACCAGCAGGTGTAAAGAAACTTTCTTCTCTTAACATCAGTTTCCATTGTCTGTGAAGACTTTTGCGCTCTAAGCAGAGGCATCAGATAAGAAGGTCCAATATGGTGCACACATGCTGCCCCCACCATTGTCCCACTCATGGCAGACATGCTTAATCAACCATTTTACTTTTTCTCGGTGATCCTGGATGATCTAAGATCCTGCTCAACAGAGGCCTCCAGCAGCCACTACCAATCCATCCCAACTAGCATGAAACTGAGGATGAAACTGAATGGCCCTACTAATAACTAGATACTTTTTGAGATGCAGTAAGAACTTTGTTAGAGTATCCCTAATTATTTATTTACCTTTAAGGTTGCAAGTTTAATGTCCAGACCTTCCCCCAGAATAAGAAACTGCAAATGTCCTTCTATAGCCATAGCAGCCTTGGCCTTAGAAAACTCCTTAAGAACGCCGGTTCTCAAGGGCCTGGGAGCATCAGGGCTTCCAGTGTTAATAAGAAACCCTTGCCTTCTGCTTATTCTCAACATCAAAAAACCATGGAAATTTATTTCCTTGCATCTATCTAATCATTTAGGATTGGGATTTTGTTTTTCGTATATAAATTAGAAGCACAGATCAGATTACCCTGTAGGTCTCTTCCAATTCTAAAAGTCAGATATTCCATAATCACTCCTGCGCTGACTCTTGTTTGCACGTTCCGAAGCCTAAATTCACGGGGGAATGTTAGTGTGGCTTATGCCTCTCAACCTCTGTGGTCCCCTCTCCAGCCCAGATGACAGCTTGGCCATCACAGAAGGAACTTGAGCCCCAGCACAGACAAATTTCCCTCCTGCCACTCATTTACCCCAAACCCTAAGGAGCTTCCACCCCCAGCTCTCACTCCACTCCCTTCATAAATATTTCAACCTCGTTTTACAAGGGCTTCACCTCACCTGCTATTTCTAGCCTGTTTTCTCCTTAAAAGGCTTTTCCTCAAACTAACCAAATTACTTTTTATTCGTGAGTATTCCCATCTGTAAGTTTTCAGAGGAGAATGCCATCTGAAAGGGGCAGAACAATTTCCTGAGCGCCTCTCAGCGTGAATTTTTAGTTCTAACCCAGCCAAGTGCTTTGCACCACCTGCCCAACGCACCGCACTGATTGCCTCCCAAGCCTCTGCACTTTCCACGGCCCCCGCCCCACGGAAATCCTGTCTAAATCTTCCCATCGCTTAGCATCTCTAAAACCCAATTCAGGACCACTTAGAGAAAGTTTAGCCAAATTCATCCCCCACCCCTGCTTGCTGGCCACTCCCCCATTCTGGAACACCATCAGCAGTGTTGATTCACATGTGCACTTCTATTTTGCATATGTTCATCCGTTACTTTGACAGTCTCCTCAAATCATGTCATTTGCATGTGTCATCTTCTCTGTGAGATTGTAGGAAGGTACTTCATGGCACTTGTGACGGACCCATGAAGTCCTTGCTTAACAAGATAGAGTTATCCACTGTGTGCATTTAACTCGTGCTGATGTTTGGGGTGAAGTCAGTTGCACCCAGAGGTGATTTGCACAGATATACACTTTCTCCCACTTCATCCTCTTTCAACAACCAAAATTGACGGGCAGCCTCTAGCATTAGAAGTGGCACTAGTTACACTGAGTCACAACCCCAGAGATCTCTGGCACCCGTGACTGCCGCCAGCTAAAGAACTGCAGCACTGTCCTCCCACATTGCAGATCCTCCTCCTGAACCAGGAAGTCAGTGCAGCAGAATTGGACTTCCTGCTTCGATCTCCAGTGCAGACAGACGTCACCAGTCCCGTGGAGTTCCTCTCCCATCAGGCCTGGGGTGGCATCAAGGTCAGCACCAGCCCCTAGGGAGAAAGTCACGTTCTCCTCTCCTGGAGTGTTTTCCTGACACTTGTCCCCAGGAAGCCCGCAGGGGTGTGTTTGGGGGCTCACCATGAGCTGTGTTAAACATTGGTGCGTCCATCCCTTTGTCTGCACCCCGTGGCAGCACTCCCCCTTCCCAGGCCTACGGGGAAGCCTTTGCAGAGCAGGAGCAGGTGTGTGTGCTTGTGCGTGGGCTCTGCCTCCAGGATGTTAGGGAACAGAAGGACCCTGTGAGTGTTTCTGACTCAGCGGAGCTGCCTTCCACCTGCCAGCGCTCAGGGCCGGAATGCTGGCTCCTCTGTGAGGCCGGGGCTGGGGTGGAGGTGCTGCGCAAGCATTTCCGTGGAGTGGACAGGTGCCAGGCCTCTGCCAGCCGTCCATCTCCCCGTGGGTCCTGACGGCCTCAAAGCAAGGAACGCATTCCAGCCTGGGGTTCTCAGTGGTTAATAATAGCTCACATTTATTGAGCACCCAAAAAATTCACTACCGTATTTTATTCTCATGTTCACCTGGGCAATAGGTATTACTTTTTGCCACTTAACATGTAAGAAAAGTGAGATCATTCATCTTATAAGTAGCAGATCCAGGAATCGAGTTCTGGTCTGTCTGATGGCAAAGTCCATCTTCCTTCCATGTTATCTAGCTTAGTTTCATTGGGATTCTACGAATATCAAAAAGATCACAAGCTATGAGCTCCTTTCAGTAGGGACCACGCCTGCATTCACAGGGCTGAGCAGTAAGCGTGGACCGAGTGACCACCAGCCCCAGAGTCTAGACGCACTCTCCAGGTGGGAGGAGGTCCAGTCCCCACCTGCAGGAGCCACACGGCAGGTGCTGTTGCCGTGTGAAGATGGCACCTGCACAAAGTGAATCCTATTTATAACCTTCCATGTCTGCTGGCTTTCCTACATGTTCTGTAGCACAAGGAAGTCTGAGTCTGAAGTAATATGATTGTCTCTCTTTTTCTAAAATTTTTTGAGACAATGATTCACGTGCAATTATAATAAATAACAGAGATTCTTTGTACCCCGTTCCCCACAGTGGACACATCTAGCTTTCCTGTAGCACAATATCACATCCAGGAAGCTGACATTGATACAATCCACTACTCTATTCTGATTACACCTGTTTTTCATGCATGTGTGTGTGTGTGTTTAGTTTTATCACACACATTTATCATGTAATCACCACCGCAGTCAAGACCCAGAAAACTCCATCTGGTGTGTATGTCACCCTGTTATAGAAACAACAACCTCCTCCCTCCCCCAATTCCTAATGCCTGGCAACCACTAATCTGTACTCCATTTGTATAATTTTGTCGTTTCAAGGATGTTATATAAATGGAATTATACAGTATGTAACTTTTGGGGACTGGCTTGATCATTCAGCGTAACTCCCTTGAGATCCATCCAAGTTGATTTACTTTATAACAAAACCCCAGCACTTAATCATTTATGTACGTGCTGCCCCCTTCAAAGGAGTCATCTTGGGAAATGCTGCCATTGCCCAAAATATTTTTCTAACTTTTTTTCAGAGTCTGTAGCTCTTCTTTTAATCATCTTTAGGGCTATGTGTAAATCAAGAGTCATCAAACATTTTCTGCACAGGGTCACATAGCAAATATCTAGGCTTTGAGGGCCACACTCTGTCACAACTATTCAACTCTGCCAAAGTCACACACCATAGGTAAGCAAATGGAAATGGCTGAGTTCCAATAAAACTTTATTTACAAACACAGATGGTGGGCCAGAGTGTCCCTGCAGGCCACAGTTTTCTGATCCCTGATCTAAATAATAAAGGTATGATTTTTTATATATTAGCTCCGTTTGTCATTCTGAACCCAGTCTGGCAAATGAGAAGGAGAATAATATGTTGGGAAAGAAACAAGGGGGCACTCCATTCACAACAGCAACCAAAAATCACAAAGTTATAAAATGCCTAAGAATAATTATAATAAGTGCAGAGCATATGTGTGGAAAACCGTCAGCTTTTCTAGGCTACATAAGATAAGATATGAATGAATAGATGCAATCTAGAGTAGCACTGTCCAAAAGAAATATATTGCAGTGCACATGTGTCATTTAAATTTTTCTAGTAGCCACATTAAAAATGCAAAATGAAAAAAATGTAAAATAAAATTGATGAAAGTAATTTTAATAATATATTTTCCTTAACCCAATACAGCAAAAATATTATCATTTTAATATGTAACTGTCACAAGAGTTATAAGTGAGATATTTTATATTTTTGTAAAAGTCTAAATTCTGGTGTGTATTTTTTGCACTTATAACACATATCAATTCAGATGCTAAACCTTCATCAGAAATACTTGATTTGAATTTAGATTTTATAAAATTTAGAGTTAAAACATTTGATTCATACGCCCAAGTTGTTTCAAACATACTTCAAAGTTCTCCAATTACTAAAGCAAGTTCCAGTTTCTAAACTTAAATTTAAAAATAATTAAAATTAACAAATAAATAGTAAATGTGTTAAAATTTGTAAAAAAGTAAACAAATAACTAAATAAATAATATGAAGGAAAAAAATCAACCATACCAGAAAAAAGAATAAATGTGTTAAATTTTTTAAAAAACATAAATAAATAAAATGCAAATAAAAATCCTATTCTTCAGCCATACTGGCCACATTTCATTTGCTCAATACTCACATGTGGCCAATGGCTACCTGCTGGAAAGTATGGCCCCAGAGCTTGAGAATAATGACTCAGGGTCTGATGCTCATATGGAAAATAAATTCTGGAAAGCAGTTCTAAATGAGCCCATTTGCAGAACTGGAGCAATGATGGAGATGGACCAGTTAGCCCAGGCTCTGGAGTCAGACATTCCTGGGTTCAGGTTCAAGTTTGAGTGTGGCCTCTGACAGGTTATCTCTGTTTCCTTATCTGTTATGCCAGACACATAAATGTTCAGTAAATGGAAACCGATTATGGTTGTGGTTATGGCTGTTGTATTTGTTTCCTAGAATGGCCATAACAAAGTGCCACAGGCTGGGTGGCTTAAAAACACAGCATTATTCTGCCAGAGTTCTGGAGGCTAGAAGTCTGAAATTAAGGTGTTGGCAGGTCATGCTCCCTCTAGAGCCTCAGGGAGGAGACCCTTTCTTGCCTCTTCCAGCTTCTGGCAGCCCCAGGCACTCCTGGTTTGTGGCAGGACCACTCAGATCTCTGCCTCCGTCTCCACGGTCCCTACATGGCCGTCTTCCCTCTGTGTCTTTGCGTCTCTTCTCATAAGAGCATCAGTCACAATGGATCAGAGCCCACCCTCCTGACCTCATCTTAACAGGATCACACCTGCAAAGAGCCTATTTATTCCCAAATAAGGTCCCATTCAGAAATCTGGGAGGCTAGTTCTTCAACGTATCTTTCTGGGGCATACAATTCACCTTATCACAGTTATGATTATTAATTACCCAGCTATAAGCTGTATATATGCTGTGGTTGACATGGGCTGTGCCTGATAGAATTTGTCCATCGAAGGAAAACCTTTGAGGAATGGTGAGTTGCCAAGTTGGGCTCAGTCCAGTTGCCTTTCTCTCTGTTATCCCACAAAGCCATCCGCAGCGAAAGTCATAAAGAATAAGTGATTCAAAAGCACTCTTCACTGCTTTCATTTTCCGTAGCTCAACTCCGAAAGCGACTTGGTGCAATTTGGTTCCATCCCCCTTTGGTTTGCTTTGCTTTTTGGTTTTGTTTTGCGGTCTAAGCTCTTCTGGCTGTTCAAAGGTTTCTGCAAATGAGTGAAGCTTTATCTTTCTCTCTGAGTTTTGTTACCGGAGCAGCCATGTCCAGCCCCATCCATCTCCAGCCCAGTGCAGGACGTGGGCAGGTGAAACACAATGCAGCGTGCACCCTCTGACGAATGCTCTTTTTAAGTGTTCAGTTGGCTTTCAGCCTAAAGAAACAAAGGAAGAATAATTGAACAGGACATGATAAAACAAATTTTTTAAAACACCCTGTCTGATGAGGAAGATTGATTGCCCTGTTTCCCCAGAAGATCTAATAAGCAGGTGATGAATGAAATCTCTGTGGTCAAATCCTGCTTTTATTAGTACCCTCTGTAAGGATTTTTAAAGTCTCATCAAATGTTAAACTTTTAGGTAATGGGCATGTTCTCTTCTTCTTTTTTTTTTTTTTACTTAAAAAATTTTGATTGGAGTATAGTTGATTTACAATGTTATGTTAGTTTCTGCTGCACAGCAAAATGAATCAGTTATACGTATATCCACTCATTTTTAGATTCTTTTTCCATATAGGTCATTACAGAGTATTGAGGAGAGTTCCCTGTGCTATACAGTAGGTCCTTATTAGTTATCTATTTTATATAGAGTGGCGTGTATCTGTCAATCCCAATCTCCCTATTTATCCGTCCCCTCCATTCCCCCTGGTAACCGTAAGTTTGTTTTCTATATCTGTGACTCTATTTCTGTTTTGTAAATAAGTCCAGAGTACCAAGGGGTCTTAGAAGCAAGACATACAATGCCACTACCTTGCTGATCACTTTTTGTCAGTCAGCATGTTCTCTTCTTCATTAAAGAATCTCATCTGTGGTACCGGACATTGTTAGCCTTTGAAAAGGCCCCTCGCTGCCTCTCTGAATGCCAATTTAGCACAGTTGTACTTTGCTACCCAGTCCAATGTAATTAGGTTAATTAGTCATTTCCATTTAGCTTATTAGAACGTTAGAAATCCCTTTTCCTCTTTTGGAAGATTAAACATTGCAACTGTGTTCAACCCAGAGCTTCAAGAAAGCGTGCTTCAGACCCAGCCACGGTAGCTGGGAGCCCTGATCACCATGTAATTTCCTCAGTTTTGTGGTGACACCAGGGGAGGGTAATGGGACCGCAGGAGGGTTAATGGTGATGCAAGCTGGGAAGAGGGGTGAAGTGGCAGCCTGAAAGAAGAGGAAAGTTTGGTGCTCGGCACAGAGGGAAATAATTACCGCAGCTGCAGCTTTTCTCAGCCTGTCAAGGGCCCGCCCACTGGCTGCCCAGATGTCAAACTTTATTAATGGAGCGCTTCCTAAGCACCAGGCAGCCTGCCAGGCCTGAGGCGTACAGAGATGGCTCAGAAAGCTCTTGCCCGCAGGGAACTCACAATCTTGTGGGACACCCAGACAAGGAAACCAGCAATTGCAATTCAATAACTGTAGGAGCCCCCAAAAAGCACAAAGAGGGGCTTTATAGTCTTCAAAGCACTTGTATCTACATGAGAGTATGAGCTATGCAGACAACGGTTACTTGGCCTCATTTTCCAAATGAAAAAGTCAAAGCCCACAAAGGTTTAAAAACAGGCTCCGCGTCATAAGAGGCTCATAAGAGGTGACGTCGAGAGCAGAGCTCTCGTCTCCTGGTGCCTCCTCCGCCATCCCCCGTGCCACTCCACGCCACTTCTCAGCACAATGACTGGTGCGTTCCCTGCTCTGCATGCTAAGGGTGAAATTAGGAAGCCACAGAGCCCATGTGAAAGGGCACTTAAGGACTGGACATGTGTTCCTCCACGTGGGAGAAGAGGCTGGGCGAGCCCAGGTCAAGTGCACGTGTCCTTCTCCAGCCTGACCTCCCCCTTGCCACCTGTAGACCCGTCCTCCACAGTCACACTGCCGTCTACCATGTCCCGCACCCTCCCCACTCCAGACTTGGACTCTGTGGATCCTTCCCCATGAAATGCCCTGCCCTTCCCTCTACCGCTCGCTCTGCCCAGCAGAATTCTACATCCCTACTAAGGCCTCCCTCATCTCTTTCTCTTAGGATTTTAAGCTCCCCGAAGGCAAGTGTATTTGTTTGGTTCACATTTGTATCCCCAAGTACCTGGCATGTAGCAGGCGTCCAATAAATATCAAATGAATGAATGATTTCACATAACAAGAATGGAGGATTCCTTAAAATTCATGGCACTGCAGTAGGTGCTTTGGAGACAGTCTAGCTTTTAATCTCATTAGAGAGATCAGTGGAGTTGAGTGACCACAGAAAGGCTGCAGGTAAGCGACTGCCTAAGTGAGTAACGTTTACGTGGGCACTCTGAAGAAACAGGATGGACCCCACCCAAAATGCGGTTCCCATGTCCAGACTGATGACGCCTTACGCATAACTAGAAGGCATGAAAGAGTTTACTGTCACATAATGAGACTTTCTGGGCAGAGCAGGGGAGCTCCCAAGCAGTCTGAGAGAGCCCGGAAAGGAGGTGTCTTGGGGGTGTTCTGGTCGTTGGGGAGTGGGGCGGGGCTTGCATGATACAACTTCCCTTCGGCACCAAGGAGGGAGCACCCAGGCTTACCTGTCAGCTTGTCCTGGAGTGGAGCAGAAGAGGAAGAGGGAGGGGTAAGGCTTTAAAGCTATCAGCAGTCACACTTCCTTTATTAAAGATACCAACTCTGTGAGTAGTTCCAAGTGGTCCACAAAAGAAGGGTAGGAGGGCTGTGCGTTCCAGGTTAGAGAGGTGGACGTGACTGATTTTGGACTGGACTTTAACAGCTTGTGGAACCTTGACAAACAATCATGACCAGTGCAAGAAAGGAAAGGAGTGGAATTTGGCGGAGAAGAGAACAGGACCACTCCCGTGATGAAACTAGTGTGAACAAGGCACCAAGTTGGGAGATCGTCTGGCACATTTCCAGGGCTGAGGGCAGATGTGTGTGGACAGAGGAGGGAGGAAATGGGCCACCTGGGTAGCTGGATGGATTGGGGGGAAGCCCTAAATGAAGAGATTTGATTCACATGTTATGCCTTGGGATTTAATGCTTAGGGAAGCAGATGACACAGAGAAATGTTAAAGTTGGCATTAACACAAAGTCAGTGATTCTAGAGACATTTTGAGAGAGGAATTGACAGGCGTTGCTGGCAGAGTGAGTATGGGACTGAAAGAGAAGAGTCACTGACGTCAGGTGTCCGGGCTCCGGGACCAGAAAAATCCCAGCATCCCTTCTTGTCCCTCTTCCCAGCAGTACCCTCGAGGGAGGTGCTGCTTGGTCTCCACAGCTGAGCATTTCCCAAACCTTGCATATTATTGGGACAGTTTGCTGACGGTAAGTTGATTAAAATCCTTCCTCTATCTTGAGTTTACCGTGGGTGGGGGGGGAGATTCAAGACTCCAGAAAAGAGTATAAATGAGACAGAATTATGTCTATAATACCACCTTGCCCCCCACCAACCCCCAACACAATGCAGATGACAGCTTTCTGGAGAAACTGCATTTCAGAGCAAGATTCCCTGAAATTTTTCAGGCACTTTCATCAATGGAAGAATTCTATAATCTGGATCGGGACATTGAGGGATCCGCCAAGGGCTGGAAAAAGTTTGTCGAATCAGAATGTCCTGAGAAGGAGAAGTTCCCCCAGGAGTGGAAGAACAAGACAGGCCTGCAGCGCCTCTGCATGATGAGAGCCATGCGGCCTGACCGGATGACCTATGCCATGAGGTAGGGACAGGGTGGTGGCGAAGCCAGGATGGGTGTGGCCAGACCAGCAGGGCTGATCACAAAGGCCACAAGTTTATCTTGATGGGAGCCTTTGTCCCAACAACCAAAATCCCATGAGGCCCGTTGCTCTGTGTGTGCCATGTATTGTCTTAATATCTAAGTGGACCCTTTGGGAAGAGGTACTCATCAGTATCAGCACTGGGAAGGAGGCGGATCACTCTAATGGGCAGGAGATGTGAGATCCAGAGGACAGATGGAAAGATCATCCTTTGGCGGGAAGAACACCCCTCTCATTACAAAAGACAGAGAGAGGTGGGTGTGACTGTAGCGGAGGTGATAAAAGCATGGCAGAAAATTGAGCAAGGTTTTGTCTCATGACTTCCACTCCCTCTGAGGAGTAGGAAGCAAGATCTCGCTGCGTTTGTGTGAGAGGGGAGGTGGCAGTGTTGGAGATTTGAGGAATGTGCAAAAGATCTGAAATAGGATCTGTGAAAAAATGGGAGACTGCTGACCAGGGGAACTCAAAGAATTCCAAGCAGCCTCTAGGGCCCACCTAGTGAGATCCTGCATTTGTAGGGGCGCCAGCCTTCACCACTGGATGATTTTCTACAGCTGCATCCAACAGCCCTAGGGTAGATTCAGAGCATGGATCCCTGGTGGAATAAGAGTTAGGGAAGGGAGGTGTGTGGTACTGGCAGAAGAATGATTAGAAGTCACAGGCCGTGCCGCCTACAGAGACGGGCGAATTAGCAGCTGCCTGGGGCTGGAGGGTAGGAATAGGAATTCTCTAAATAGGCAGGAGAATCTTATTGCAGGCTTAAAATGTTGTAAAACTGGATTATGATGAAGATTACAATTCCATGAATTTATTAAACATTATTGAATAGTATACTAAAAATTGGTGAATTTTATGGTATGTCGATTGTACCTCGACAAAGTTGTTTTTAAAAAAAGAAAAGAAATGAGGAAGTTACAGGCCATGGAGCCTACACTGAATTGAACAAGACTTGTAGTGACAAGAATAAGGGGATGATAAAAAGAAAGAAAGAAAGAAATTAAAAACACCAGCGAGGCCAAGATACTGAAAATCCTGCATTTGTGGCACCAATACAGGTAAGGAATAAGCTCACTAAGGATAAATTACTAAAAGAACAGTAAGGACGGAAAGCTTTGGTCAGAGAGTGAGATGTTGCCATTTATGGTTTCAGACATAGAAAAAGTTCCCAAGTAACCACAAGGATGAGAATGTGGCCTTGGAATCAGGTGGCTGACATGGGGAAGAATGGAAGATTGTTAAGAATCTGGAGGATTGTCCACATGGACGCTAATGTCACTCAGGCTGGTGGAGAGACAGTCCATGAGCCAAAGTCCAAGTGATGAGTGAATGAGTAAAGGGACCAAAGGAGCAGTGGACGACGTGGATGTGCAGGGGTCGTGGTGGTACAGTCAGGGCAAACGAGCCTCAGTGGAGCCACACGAGTGGGAAAGAAAGGGTTTAGAAGTAATGGTCATCCGTGAGCAGGACCGTGATCCCAGCTCCCAGTACTGAGAATGAGCCCACCTGAGAAGGGTACAGGGAAAATAGTGTCCTTGCGGGAGCTTTTAAGGCCAAGAGTTAGGCCGGATTTTCAGAAAGTGGTTACAACGGCAAGGTTTTGTTTAGCCTGAAATGGGACATAGGAAGAGGAACATTGGTAGGTGGAATAAGATGAAAGGAAACACAGAGAATGATAGAACGTGAGGGACTAGAAGCCTGGAGGGCCTTAAATCATGGATAGGGATGGCGGATCCCAGGGATACAATGTATGGAGGGTTCAGCTGCCTGCAAGCTTCCGGAAGGCGTTGCTCCTGGCAGGCTTCTGATGGGTGGTGGTGATGCAACAGGACATCCCAGCTCCACAGAGGAGTCATGGTGGCCTGGCTGGATGGGGATCCAGAAGGAGTCCTGATCTAGGTGAGCAGGTGCACAACCAGCAGCAAAGGTTGTAAGTGTCGACTTAATCAGTAAGTAGTGCTTGGCATTGGTCCTAGCTCCGTAACTGCCAAGCCGTGATCTTGAGCACATCCTTCCATGTCTATAGACCTCTGTTGCTCATATGTTATTATTCTGTGACTGCTATACACACATGGACCTTCTTTTATTCCTGGCAGAGATTTTATTGAGGAGAAGTTAGGAAGCAAATACGTGTTGGGAAGAGCACTGGACTTCGCAGCCTCTTTTGAAGAATTGGGACCAGCCACTCCCATGTTTTTTATCCTGTCTCCAGGGGTGGACCCACTGAAGGATGTGGAAAATCAAGGTAAGAAAACCTCATTATGGAGCCAAGGCTGCACCAGCCCCATGCACTGTCACTCTGCGTCTGTCAGCTTCTCTTTTCCTGATTCAAGGTTCATTTTGCAGTGCTTGATATTTGCTAACCATACAGAAATCAGGGTAATTGCTGAACCAACCCCAGGGGGTCATGAACAGAGGGAGGACTGCTCTGGGATGTGAGGTAGCAGGTTCATGAGGAGACCTTGTCCCACCACCCACCCACCCATTCCCCTTCCTGTGGCCGGAGCAGTTATTCTGAAAAACAAGTACAGTCCTTTTATAGGCTCCTAGTGCCCTCAGGATGAAGTCCAAACACCTTAATATGGCTTACAGGGAGCTTCGTCCTCCAGTCCCTCCCTATCTCTCCAGCCTATTTTCCATTATTAGTTTCCTGTTGCTGCTGTAACAAATTATCACAAACTCAGAGGCTTAAAATAACACTAACTATTATTTTACAGTTCTGGAGGTCAGAAATCTTACATGGGGCTTACTGTCTCCCCCCTTTCCCTCATAAGGACCCCTACGACTATATCAGGCCCACTCAGATAACCCAGGATAATCTCCCCATCTGGAGGTCTTTAACCACATCTGCAGAGTCTCTTTTGCCTGTAAAGTCACATATATTCACAGATTCCGGGATTTAGAACATGGGCATCTTTGGGCACTCCTTATTCTGCCTACATTTCCCTACTCCCCTCTTTTTCACTCTTCATGGAAGCCATTCCATTCTCCCAAACATTCTGTCCCCACTCTGGCATCCCCTTCACCAGGCTACCTTCTACTCATCCTTCAGATACCAGTTTCAATGTCACCACCTCCAGGAAGCCCTACTTGATTTCCAAGGTGCTGGATACCCCTCCCCATGTGCTCTTAGAGCACCCTACTGTCTATATATCACATTGTAATTGTCTAGTGACTACTACGGTATCTTCATGTGAGAGTGAGAGCTCTGGGAATAGATGTCCTTTTCAAGGTAGTATTCAAGTTCCTATCTCTGTATTTTCACATGCTAGGCACTCAGTAAATAAATACATTAAATAGGACTTCCGTGATGGCATAGTGGTTAAGAATCCGCCTGCCAATGCAGGGGACACGGGTTCCATTCCTGGTCCGGGAAGATCCCACATGCCACGGAGCGACTAAGCCCGTGTACCACAACTACTGAGACTGCACTCTAGATCTCACGAGCCACAACTACTGAGCCCACGTGCCACAACTACTGAAGCCTGCACACCTAGAGCCCGTGCTCCACAACAAGAGAAGCCACCGCAATGAGAAACCCGCACACCGCAACGAAGAGTAGCCCCACTGCACACCTAGCCCGTGCTCCACAACAAGAGAAGCCACCGCAATGAGAAACCCGCACACCGCAACGAAGAGTAGCCCCAGCTCGTGCAACTAGAGAAAGCCCACGCACAGCAACGAAGGCCCAACGCAGGCAAAAATAAAGAAAGAAAAGAAAAGAAATACATTTTAAAAATATATGTTAAATAAAGGGATGAGCAAATGGATGACTAATCAAAACTATAAAACTAGCAAAACTAGGGAGTTCCCTGGCGGTCCCGTGGTTAGGACTCCACACTTTCACTGCCATGGCCCCTGGTTCAATCCCTGGTCAGGGAACTAAGATCCTTCAAGCCTCGTGGCGCGGCCAAAGGGGAAAACAAAAGCTAGCAAAACTACACATGTTGCAAAGTTAAATAAGGACTCAGCAGGCTTTTACAGAGCCAGGTCTTTATGGATGAGAATCCAGACCATGTAATACACCTCCATGAAAGGAATCTACGCCTGGTGTAGATTTAGAGCCTGGTGTTTGGCTCTAAAGAATAGATGAGTTCTGTATAAGGAAGAGAATTATCTTATTCACTAATTTAATGTATATTTTTGTAATCTCCTAAAAAGTTCAAGTAACATATTTTTAAAATACCTGTAATAAAGAATTTAAAATGAAAAGCAATAGTTCTCAGCTCCAGCCCTTCCCACACCCAGTCCCCCTTCCCAGACACTGGGGTTTTGCCTTTTTCTGAATTTATTCCTTCTGACAATTGTTTCTCTATTTCCTACTAATAATTTATATCACTATTTCTGAATTTATCAAGTTTCAGTATCTATTTATTCCCTGGTATGAAAAGTAAGAGTTTAGCTCCCATTACTGCCAACCAATTGGCTTCATCCTAGATTTGGTAGCATAAGTCATCCGGAGAAAATCACAGGAAGTAAAATTTCTGGATCTTTGGGTGTCTAAAAAGACCAGTTTTGCCCACATACTCTTTAAATAGGTTTGCTAGGTCCAAAATGATTTTTACTCAGAATGTGTCCATACTGCTCAATTGTCTCCTAGAATTCAGTTTTATTCATAGGAGGCCATATGCTAGTAGGGTGCTATTCTTCCCTTGTTTCTTTGTTGGTGACCTATTTTTATTCCCTGGAAACTTTAGGATCATCTTTCTACCTTGTGTTCTGACGTTTCATGAGCTGAGTTAGGTGTGGGTGTTTTTCATTCACCTGCTCAGCACTCAGCCTGCCTTTTCGAGTGGGAGAGTCACACCTGTCTTTATCTCTGGAAATTTTATTCTATCATTTTTGGTAAATATCACCACCATTCGGCAAGTTGCTCCTGCCGGAAACCTGGGAATCAGTCACCCTAGACCCCCTCCTCCACTACCTACCACATCTAGTCCTATTGCTCCTACCTTCTAAAATGTGCTTCAGACGAGTCTAATTGCCTCATTGTGTCTCCCTCCTCTGAGTGGCCACATCTCTCACTGGACTATCACCATAGCCTCCTAACTTACCCCGCTTCTCCTCCCCCACCTGCAATTTTTGCTGCTCTTACAGCCAGACTCGCCTTGCTGAATCTCAGCTCTGATTCTTATCACTCTCCCACTTAAATCGCCCTAGTGGCTCCCCACAGTCCTCAAGGTAATGCCCAGTACTATAAGCATGGTCTCTGTGACCTGCATGGCCTGGCCTTTCTGTCCAGCCTTGGATCTTACATTCCCTCAAGCTCACACTTCTCTGGCCACATGGCTCAAAAGGTTCTCCATCATGAGCCCTCCTGGCCCAGGCCGTTTTCTCAAGCAATTCCTTTCACCTGAAATGCTTCTCCCCAGCTCTTCAGTCCAATGCCTGCCAATCCTGCAGGGATCAGCTTCTCCTGACCTCTGCACAAGACCATTTGGTTTCCCCTTATGCATATTATTTGCTTCAGAGCATTGAATACAATTCTAATTAGACCCTTCTTTTACAGTTTTAGCTTACGTTTGCCTGCCTGCATGTCGCTAAGACCCTGGAGGTCAAGGATTGTGTCATCTTGCTCATCATTTTCTTACCAGTGCCTAAAAGGGTAACTAGCACAGAGAGGTACTCAGTAAATATTGGTTGAATGAATTAACAAACGAATGAGTAAATGAGCATAAGAACTGTTGTTATTGCTGTGTTATTCCTGACTTTCACTTTTTCATAGATTCTGTATTCCTTCTGTCCCATGGAGGTTTTATTCCTTTCGTAATGACAAATCTAGTCTCCTCATTTTTATTCAGTGTTTTCCTTTCCGGAAGCTTTCATATACCCTGTTTATGAGCAATTTCCTACTATTCTTTGCCAATTGACCCCCAACTACTATTCCATCATGTAGTTTGAAGCTTTCTGTCATTTCAGGCAAGCTGACCTGTCCCTGAACCATATTGGTTATTTGTCTCTGAGTAAATCACCTCAGCCCTGCCCTTGGCTTCATCTTAACGCAAATTTCCCGACCAGAGGCAATATTGCTGTTCATCAGCTAGAGATTACCTGGGCACCTGGGCCTCTCTCTCTCTCTCTTCCTCCCCCTCTGTGCTCTGGATGGTTTGATTCATTTTCTCATGCACCCATTTAGAACATATACTCTGGTGACATCATGTGCTCCACATCTTGGATCTCATCATTCGGCCTGATGGACTCCTATTCTCAGGTTTGGAATCCACATAACTGACTCACTTTCCCCTATGTCCCCTAGGCCCCCGCTTATTCAGGAAACTTACTGTCTCTGTGCTTGGGCAGAGTCTGTGCATCAGACTCCATCAGACACTGTTTTACTCCATGTAGATGCAGACAAAGCTTGGCAGATGAAAGATTTTGTTCCCCCATCCTCACTCCAGCCCTTCTCCCGAAATGCATGAACCCACAGACAGACAAAATTCTATATATGATTTTGGGAGTTCTCTAAGCTTCTGAAGCTCATCCATTGACACTTGGTTAAGAATCTGTGCTTTTCTAAGAATCTGAAAAAGAATAGGTATATGTATATGTATAACTGAATCACTTTGCTGTACACCTGAAACTAACACAACATTGTAAATCAACTCTACTCCAATATAAAATAAAATTTTTTTAATTAAAAAAATTTTTTTTAAAGAATCTAAGCTTTTCTGGCAGTTTTGTACCTCTTCGTCTCCTCCGAGATTTTCCTTCCTCAACAATTTTGAAGGAGGAGGAAGACAGAATTCCACCCACTTTCCTCGGCCTACGTTTTAACATGAACCCACTTCCACCCACCCGCACAGCATTCCTTCTTGCCTTCGCAGATTAATCCTTTACCTTCTCTCTCTTCTCATCACCTTCTTCCCGAATGAGCCACACTTCCTTATTTGCACGATTATTTTTGCTTTTGCTTCATCTAAAAGCAATCACCCATCGTTTCCAATCACCCCTTAATACCTTCCTCCCAGGGTTACTGTGAAGATAAGAATGAAATCTCAGATGTGAAAAGGCTTTGAAACATTAAAAGTACAGTAGCATTGTACGGCATTAAAATGACGATGATGACGCGTCTATTCTTTGAGGCAGCTCGGTTTGCTCCTTCCTTTACATCCGTTTGTCACATCCTTTCAAAGCACAGTATCATCCTCGGCCCTCCCAACAGAGGACCTCCCCTTTCCACCCTTACAAGGCACCTTCTCTGGTCCTTCTTTGACTTGACTCTTGCATGATCTTGCTTGGTCTCCATCCTCCTTTGTCCAGTTACCTGGCATTGACAAAATGTTTCCGTTTACCTACCACCTGGGCCTTCTACTGCCTCCCCTTCCTCTTTCCAATATGCTGGTCAGAGGAGGAGTTCCTTTAGATTTTTGTCAGCCTGCTACCAGGTGTGTTCAAGGAAACAGTTTTCAATTCGGTGTCTTTGCAGCTAGATTATCAACACTTTGCTTAGAGCCTCTTCTTCATTGTTCCTGACTCCATTCTCTTTTTCTTAAGCATCAGTTGAAGTTGGCTAGGATGGAGCAAGTACAGTCTCTACAGAGCAGCTTCAAGACTGGCAGAGTGTAGTTTCTGTGTGAAGGGACACTCATCCATCTGTTCATGTGCTGGGGATGGGGGACACCTCTTCCACTGAGAGGGGGCTGTGCAGGGATGGGGATGGAACAGGGATGTGCGCAGAGGCAGATACAATGGCAGTAAATGGAAGGTGTTCTACCAGATGGCAGATGTTTTGTCAGGCAGAGGGAGCAGTAAAGAGTGAAGCAAAGTGCTGAGCATAAGAAGCGGGGCAGCCATTAGGAAGTTTTAAGGAAGAGGGGAATGGACAACATGTGAAAGATTACCAGACAGTCTCACAAGACTGAGAATCATCAGCTTGTCGTGGCACCAATTCACTCAGTGTGTTATTTTTTCTCTTGTATTAACGCATAGACTTGTGCAGGGTTGTGGTTTTACAAAAGTTGGGGGATGCAGATGTAGAATGGGCAATGGAGTGAAGAATTTTATAAGATCATGGCTCAAATGAAGGATTATTGGGTCCATCTTAAAATAAGAGGGAGGTAAAGATGAAGGTTGAAAAAACAGAGGAGCCAATGGACTAGACGTTTTGCTGATACAGAATAATATGCAAGGAGGAGTAAGAGAGTGAGCAATCTGGACAGTAGGAAGTTAGAGTTGTGAGTAAAAATGAAAGAATGATGTGTCAGACGTGGGAGAGTTTGCAGGGATAAGGCCTCACTGCAGCCACTGGGAATGGGAAACAGAAATGGAAAGAAATTCTTTGAAGATGAGGAAGCATGAGGCTGGGTGTTGGCTGAGTCATCCGTAGTGGCATTAAAGCTCACCAAGATAATGATGAGACAGAAAATATGGAATATTTTAAACCAAGTTCCAAAACCCCTAATAAAAGTGACTCTTGCTAGGAAGTTGATAGAGGGCAGAAAACATAAAAGTTAGTAGGCAATGTAGCCAATAGCATGTGCTTTAGAAGAGAGTATTTGTTTTTCTCTTTCTGACTTACTTCACTCCGTATGACAGACTCTGGGTCCATCCACCTCACTACCAATAACTCCATTTCATTTCTTTTTATGGCTGAGTAATATTCCATTGTATATATGTGCCACATCTTCTTCATCCATTCATCTGTTGATGGACACTTAGGTTGCTTCTATGTCCTGGCTATTGTAAATAGCGCTGCAATGAGCACTGTGGTACATGACTCTTTTTGAATTATGGTTTTCTCAGGGTATATGCTCAGTAGTGGGATTGCTGGATCATATGGTAATTCTATTTTTAGTTTTTTAAGGAACCTCTATACTGTTCTCCATAGTGGCTGTATCAATTTACATTCCCACCAACAGTACAAGAGGGTTCCCTTTTCTCCACACCCTCTCCAGCATGTATTGTTTGTAGATTTTTTGATGATGGCCATTCTGACCGGTGTGAGATGATATCTCACCATATGCTAACACATATATATGGAATCTAAGGGAAAAAAAGAAAGGTCATGAAGAACCTAGGGGCAAGACAGGAATAAAGACACAGACCTACTAGAGAATGGACTTGAGGATATGGGGAGGGGGAAGGGTAAGCTGTGACAAAGTGAGAGAGTGGCATGGACATATATATACTACCAGATGTAAAACAGATAGCTAGGGCTTCCCTGGTGGCGCAGCGGTTGAGAGTCCGCCTGCCGATGCAGGGGACACGGGTTCGTGCCCCGCTCCGGGAAGATCCCACATGCCGCGGAGCGGCTGGGCCCGTGAGCCGTGGCCGCTGAGCCTGCACGTCCGGAGCCTGTGCTCCGCGACGGGAGAGGCCACAACGGTTGAGAGGCCCATGTACCGCAAAAAAAAAAACAAACCCAAAACAGATAGCTAGTGGGAAGTAGCCGCATAGCACAGGGAGATCAGCTCAGTGCTTTGTGACCACCTAGAGGGGTGGGATAGGGAGGGTGGGAGGGAGACGCAAGAGGGAAGAGATATGGGAACATATGTATATGTGTAACTGATTCACTTTGTTATAAAGCAGAAAGTAACACACCACTGTAAAGCAATTATGCTCCAATAAAGATGTTAAAATAAATAAATAAAAATTAAATTAAAAAAAAATAAGAAGAGAGCACATGAAAGGTTTTTCATACAAGAGCGGAGAAGAAATAGCCTGCAAGTAACAAGACAAGGCTAGAAGGACGTTCCCCTTCCTCCCAGCCCCAGGGGTATGTGGAGCTAAGCGGAGGGTCACGGACACTGTAGCGTCCTCAGACTGGAGCTCGTGGAGGGACGGCCACCAGGATGCTCAGGGAGGTTCACAGTGCGGCCCGGCTCCTGGTGACACCACCATACGGGGCGCTGGAAGGAAGATCTGAAAGGGAAAGAAAGGCAGGGGGGTGGGGGCACGGAAGCCGTAGCACATGGAATTCGAACTAATCTTTAGTTAAGCCCTCTTTTCCTGTACCCTTTGTCTGTGAACAAAGAAAAGAAGTAGGATCTTTGTGAGCAGAAATGTCCCCGAGGCTATCTAATAATCCCAGCATCTTTATCCTGTTCTTTTTCTCTGGAATAAGTTGTTCATATATTCTTGGCTCTAAAGCTGACATCAAATCTATTGCCAGCTAGGATTTATAGAGTTTAATAAGGGTATTTCTTGGGTTCATCTCAGTTGAATCTGTAATAACTATTCCTCACTACAGAAAGTCATCATCTTGTTTGGTCTTATACAGTTAAAGAACACACTATAGTTTTGCTTTAGTGCTCTAAAGACACATCCAATATTGACAGTGTTCTTTAAATTTTCTTGCACAAGTATCAAACTGCAACTTCAATTCTAGTTCCCCTGAAACTAAATTTGTTAAGTACAGACTTTTATTCTTTTTCTCTTTTAAATTTCTCCTCTTTTCTCTTGTGCACCTCACCTTCTTAGAAAAATTGCTCGACGATTCCTTCATGGTATTACACATTTTTTGATCCTTTTGTCTAAAGAATATTATGTAATCTCTCTAAACTTTATTATTATTTTTTATTTATTTATTTATTTTTGGCTGCGTTGGGTCTTCGTTTCTGTGCGTGGGCTTCCTCTAGTTGCAGCGAGCAGGGGCCACTCTTCATCGCGGTGCACGGGCCTCTCACTGTCGTGGCCTCTCTTGTTGTGGTGCACAAGCTCCAGACGCTCAGGCTCAGTAGTTGTGGCTCACGGGTCTAGTTGCTCTGTGGCATGTGGGATCTTCCCAGACCAGGGCTCGAACCCGTGTCCCCTGCATTGGCAGGCAGATTCTCAACAACTGCGCCACCAGGGAAGCCCTCCAAACTTTATTGGGTTGGGTGAATAGCTGGTGTCCAAGCAGAATTGGCTGCCTATATTAAGGTTATTTCTTTGTGTGAAGTCTTTCTTGGGCTCACAGAGCAACTCTTAAGCATCAGCCTTGCTCCACTGACCCAGCTGTGACATGTGCATTTGCATGGCCGTTCCCTTACTCCATTCCCGACAGTGAAATACAAGCATTCACACCTACGCAGCCAAGCCCCTTCTTGGCTGGCCTCTTGCCTCTCTTCACTCTAATTCGTGCAAAATGACAAGGGTAAAGGTTCTATGTGGTGGGAATAACAGGGAGGAGGTTCACATGGCATAAAGTACAGGAAGCCAAACTACCCGAGTCCTGCCCCTCTTGGCCTCGCCTCCCAGTAAGCTTCCCAGGAAAATGTATATTATTATTAATATATTCAGGGGGCAAAGCACGTTAGACCTGGCCACGCCCACACGCTTGCTACTCTTTGAGCCTTACACTCTCTAGGATGGTGGCCCAATGCCTGCTCAAGTGGAGGCTGCACAGAAGGGCAGCAGCACATGTGCCCATTCTTGGGGATGTCAATTGAAAAGAAAAGCACGATGTGAGAGTTGTGAGTTAAGTTTTCTTGGGGGCAAAATGAGGACTGTAGCCTGGGAGACAGCAACTCGGAGGTCAGTGTGCATGTGGTTTTGGAGAGGGGGTCACGCAGTCAGCCACACGTGTTTGCAGAAAAGCAGACGTCACCGTGAAGGACTGGAGTGCTTTTCTAGATATGAGGACACGTAAGAACTGGGCTCATAACATCTTCTCCTGAGAATACCTAACTATCTGAAGACCTGTTCTGCCAGTTCCTCCCAGAGCACAGCGGGCCTCATTCCTGGTCTCCACCCTGAACTCCTTTCATAGGCTGTTGAAGGTCAGCGGCTACAGTAGCTAGTGACTTAATCCTTGTACAGGCAGATGGCAAGTGCCAGTTTTTAGTTGGCAGGGATTAAGTGAGGAGGGAGGGGTAAAGCATTTTGTCTAGACAAGCACTTCCTTCTCTTTGGGAAAAAAAAGCTGGAAGATGCAGCAACCCTGCCTCGTGAAGGAAGAGGGTCCGTGTGTGAGGTCGGGGTGCGCGGCTTCCCGCAGCCTGCGATGGGGGAGCCGCGCGGAGGTGTGCGTTTCCTCGTGAATACTCAATGGCATTAGAGGCAATAATGACCACTCCCTGCCCCTTTTAGGTAAAAAACTCGGATATACCTTCAACAACCGGAACTTTCACAACGTGTCTTTGGGCCAAGGACAGGAGGTAGTGGCTGAGGCTGTGCTGGACCTGGCTGCCAAGAAAGGCCACTGGGTTCTTTTGCAGGTATGCCCCCTCTGCCCTGCTGGGCTCACTCTTGACCCCGTCCCTGGGTCGACCCCCACAGTCCCTGGGCCACCTTTCCTTCCATGCCCTCGTCCCTGACCTCCCAGGCTTCTCCCTCCAGTCCGGCCCCGTGTGTGCTGCTCCTCACCCCACCCTCGATACCCTCCCTCTCCCCCCACTCCCTCTGGTTTCAATGGCACCCCCGTCCAGAAGGAGGCCTGTTCTCACAGCGCTGCGTGCTCAGGAGGCCGGTGTTCAGCTGGAGGCTGAATCCAGTGGCGGCTGCTGATCCCTTCCCAGGCGTTCCATGGAGCTCTCCTCTGCTCTGCCTTTCCACGTGTCACGTGTTACAGGCTCTTCATTATATGCGTGACTAGAACGTCACACGTGTAACCAGGACTGAGCCTCTTCACTGAGAGTTCATGCTGGGGTCGGGGATCTGGAACACCTACCGTTGTAGGAATACCTACAGCGCTTCTTGTACATGTTTCACTAAACATGTACAAGAAGTAAAGGCTACCCCTCCCGAATCGCGGCCTGTCCTCTTGTTCCCGTTTCTGCAGCTTGCATGGATCCTGGGGCTGTCGGGTGCAGAGCGAGTGGCTGACTCCTCTCTTCTCCCGCAGCCACCTCTGCGAGGGCACCCATGGCTACGTGGAAACCACTTACGCTATGGCTGTGTCCTTCACTGCAATTTCTTGGGGAAAGAGACATTCCTTATTTACCTTTGGCACCTAGCACACTACCGTGAACACAGTAGACACTCAACCAAAGCCCGTGGGGTAAAAGAATCAATGAAAAAAATCAGTGAAGGAAGGACACATGGAAAAGCCAGTCCCTCCCCTCCCATCTGGCTTTGATTACCGAGAACTACCTCTGTCTCCTGATGACTCACTGTACACTTCTTGTTGTTGGGTTTTCATCCTTAATTATCCCATTATTTATTTGGAGCCTAGCAGCAGAGGGATCTGCTATTCCCTGGGACGCTTTTCCAGAAACAGTGGGAATCTAAGGAGAAAAGAGAATGACAGTGAGGTTCCTGCTTCCTCCCACTGGATCAGCTCGGTGCTGGGAGGGTGTGACCTCCCCGACTGTCTCAGGCTCATTTGCCAAAGAGACCCCCTTCTGGGCACTAGCACCTTCAGGAACCCAGCCCCCCAGACAGTGAGCAGAGAGCGTTTCCTCCCCCTGGTACCTACCGGCTGCCCTGATGTGGTTTCTGAGAGACCTCCAGGATGAAACTCAGACGCTGGGATCCCTGAAGCAGTGGCAGAGTTTCTCACTGCGGGCCGGGGGTGCTGCCTGGCTCATCGAGCCCTGGCTCTCCAGGCAGCCAGCAGACTCTCCGCCCCCATAGAATGATGACAACTGAATGCTTTCATTTCACAGAGTTTCATTTCAGCAATCGCTACGAACTCTTGCATAGCATTTCACAGTATACAAAGCCCTTTCAAATCCATTACCTTTGGTTATTTCCAGCAACCCTGGGTAATAAGTATGGAAAATATTATTGTTATTTCTCTTTTCATGGAAGAGAAAGTAGCACTCAGAGACCGGATTGCTGTGGCCCAAGCACCGTGCTCTGTGCCGATCTGTGTATTTAAGGCTCTGCAAGCAGGCTTCCTCAAATACGTATCAAGGAGCTTTTATCTATCCATCATAATGAAACAGATTGCAATGAAGCAAAGTGACTATCCTTGCTAGAGTGAAAAGTGCATGCTGCAAGGTAGTGCTAAGAAATAAATGTCGTTTTACACAGACAGACAGACAGAAAGGGGTTTTGTTGCGGGAGGAGAAGGGCTCAACGACCAGGCAGAGGAGCCTGGGCTTGTGGTAGGAGCTTTCCCTGTCTGGGAGCAGCAGTGTCTCAGTGTGTTTTAGGAAGATAAGTTTGGCAACAATTAGCAGAATGGTTTCGAGAGGGGCAGGGGAGGAAGGAAAGCTAGCTAGAAGGGGTTTAAATCAGTGCTTTTCAAGTCTTAACATGCATACAAATCACTGGAGGATCTTATTAAAATCCACTAATTCAGTAAGTCTGAGTCTGCATTTCTAACTGGCTTCCAGGTGAGGCCAACATTGCTGACCCATGGGCCCCACTTTTGATCAAAGGCTCAAAAAAATCCAGGTGTCAGATACGGGGATCTGGATTTGGAATGTAAGCACACATTAGACCCTTCAAGTGTGGCCCTCAGACCAGCAGCAGCTGCGGCATCACCCAGGAACTTGTTAGAAATGCGAGCCCTCAGACCCTACCCTGGACCACCGGCATCAACCACTCTGGGATGAGGCCTGAGAATCTTTGTCTCAGCGGGCCCTCCAGGGGATCCCGAAGCCTGGTCAAGTTTGAGATCCTTGTGCTAGAGAGACTTAGGACACCTAGGGGAAGGATTGAATTGCAGGGTACGAGGGGTCCCCATTACTGGGAACCCCAAGACTCATGCTGGGATGTGATTTGTTTGAAAGTAAGGCCAGGTCCCTCCTCAAGCCGCCTTCCTGATAATTGTTTAAGCAGATGCCTGTAATCAAGGGGTCCTTCCTTCCCACCAGAACATCCACCTGGTGGCCAAGTGGCTCAGTACCCTGGAGAAGAAGCTGGAGGAGCACAGTGAGAACAGCCACCCAGAGTTCAGGGTCTTCATCAGTGCGGAGCCCGCACCCTCCACTGAGGGCCACGTCATCCCCCAGGGCATCCTGGAGAACTCCGTTAAGATCACCAACGAGCCTCCCACGGGCATGCACGCCAACCTGCACAAGGCCCTGGACAACTTCACTCAGGTAGGGGGCCCTGGGAGGGAGGGCAGAAGAGTGCCCCACCTCACGAAGAGCAGGTTCCCCGGGTGGGAGAGTAGCACACAGCTGGGGTGGGGTGGGGGGCCGGCTGGAGCAGGGCCCGGCGTGGGCGAAATGTGTCCCCTCTGCAAGTGACCTCCAGCCAGTGCCCACCGAGTGCAGCTCTCAATTCCCAGATACACCTGGGGGCGCCAAGCTTAGGGTGTTTCTTTGGCAAGAGGTGTAGGGGAGCTTTCTGCACGCCTGCAGGCTAACTGAGTACGCCAAGATGGAGAAGGGCAGAGTGCTGTGAAACTAACTGATACGGCGCGCCGGCCGCGCACTTATTAGCGGAGCACACCGTGTTCAAGCAGGGGGCTGACACTCGTGTTCAGATGACGTCTGCATGCATCTTGAGTATCAAGGGTTCAGATAACCCAGGCAGCAGACGGTGGGGATCTGGACTGGAATGTAACCGTGTGTTAGACTCATAAAGCGTGGCCTCCAGACCAGCAGCACCTGGGCACTTGACAGGAATGCAAATTCTCGGGCTCCACCCTAGACCAAGTGCATCAGACACTCTGGGGTGGAGCCCAGGCCTCTGCGCGCTAACTAGCCCTCCAGGGGATTCTATCCAACAGTCGACTTGGAGAACACTGTGCTAGTGAGACTTGGACTATCCAGGCACAGGGTTCAAACTCAGGCTACTACGTGACTGGAATCTGTTACTGGGAACTCCAAGGCTCATGTAGTGGAGTATTTATTTAAAGCCGAGGCCAGGCCCATGGGTATATAAAGTACCGTATATAAAGTAGCGCTTGCCAAGTCTGCCGCTCAGGCCTCTTGCATCTTCTCAGGAAGGCATCCTTTCTGGTCGCTTCTTCTCTGGGGAGTCCCACCCTTCTGGGAAAGGGAGTATGCAAAGGTGCGAACACCAGGAGGATGGGGGCCACAAGGCCCACCTAACGTCCGTCTCCCACTCTGGCCTTGGTGGAGTCCAAGGGCAGGGTTCTAGGATGGGTCCTCCCTGACATCATCCTGTCGTAACACCAGCGGGTCTCTAGCTTCACGGAACCCGTGCTCAAGCTCACCGCAAGCCCCAGATAGGTCATCTAGGTCGGCTGAAACAGGCCGTCCAGCAGGACAGCCATTCTAGCGAGCCCGGCATAAAGCAGCAGGAGCAGCAGCCCTTTGGGATTGACGTTAACATGAGATGAAGACCACGTGGCAGCCGAGTCTCGCGAGATTGCACTGACTGTCTGATACCCTCGTAGCAGCAGCCCAAAGGCCAACTTGCAGGGAAGCTTCCCCGGGATCTGAGAAGAGAAACTTATCCAGCCCCCTCCTCTTGCACTCACCTTTCCAACCCAGCTCCAAAACTCCCACGTAATCTGGAGTAGAGAGCAGGGGAACATTACCAGGAGACCTCAGATATTTTAGCTTTTGCCACTTTCCCTACAAAATACCATCCCATTGCAACACGGTGCAGAAGGCAAGG